ACGCGTGCAGTACCTCAATATTGTTGACCCGATCAACGTGCATGATAGTCTAAGCCACGGCCTACCTGACTGCAGCATCGGCAGCAACAGAACTTCGCTATCCAAAATTCGCCCGTTAAAGGGTTAAAAATATCAAACGCATAGAAATGCACACGAGAAAAAATAAAATAAATTCTTCAGAAAAATGAAGAACAGAACTAACCTGGTATGGTCTAGAGAACAAATGTCCCAAGTAGGAATCTGAAAAAACGAAAACTCAATTTCTGTTTTGCCAAAAAACTGAAAAAAGTCAGTTTTGCAAATTATCAGAAAATTTATATCAGATTCCTATTTGCGACAAATGGAAAGCATATTTTTTGTTTTTTGAAGAACTCGTTTTTTGTATAGTGTAAAAATAAAAGAAAAAACAGAACGAAATATAAAGAACAGAGAAATAGAAATGAGAAAGAATTATTTTTCTTCTTAAGAACAAATGGCGCCGGACAAGTGATGCTAATGAACTTTAAAAACTTTCAAGTCCAAAACACATTTTTTTTCCACTTGTGGAGCTTATGGTGCCAAATCTGGACTTGTGCTTGAAAAAAGAACGTGTATTGATCAATTTCCAATGTGCGAAGAATATCCTACCTTTCCCAGAACCATATCAAACTTTTCCCAGCTTTCATAGCTCTCTAGATCACGAGGTGCACATTTTGCCCAAAAAGGGACGAAAGAAGAAAATAAACAATTGCGCTGCGCACAAGTTGCGATGTCAACAGACTGCATCCGATCTGTATCTGCCAGAAGCGGTCCGCAGTCAATAGGGAGTTCACCAGATCACATTCGTTGTGATTTTAGTTACTTTAAAAGATAGATTTAAGAAAAAAGAATGGAAAACGAAATTTGAAGTAGAAAGAGAGAATTAGTTTTCCTCTAAAGAACAAATGGCGCCGGACAACTGAATGGGACAGGCGGAATCGAGACAAAAAGAAATTTATGGGCTCGGGGCAAGAAAAGAAAAAAAATTCACGGGCTTGGGCTCGGAACAATTTGCAGAAAAATGTTGTTCTATAAGTTTTGTCTTTTGATTGTAATTATACTGCAACTTCAAATGTTTAATTCTTGTAATACTATCAAGTCAATACAAATTTAATATCAGTAGGCGGCGATTTTTGAAATAATTTCATGTTAATTTCAGCTAATTCTAGAACTTTATTCTACAAAACTTGATATTGCGACCATTCACGGTCATTGTCAAAAGTGAAAATGTATACACAAGACGTATAACGGTATTGAACAATCTGTACCATTTAGTATTGGTTGTGATCGTATCAAGAGTGATTCATTTATTAACAATTTGTATTTTTATTGTTCACTAGTGAGAATTTTAAAGTTATTTGGTGTAATCAAATGTCGAGTCGCCTGATAATGTCTACCAATGCCCGACTTTGCCAGTACCGTTTGTTTTGGATTGTCTTTTATCAATGTTAGGGTGGCGAGTGACTCATCAAGCTCATCATCACTGAACAGTTTACCTGTTCTTGAACATGTGAGAATTATAAAATGTAAAAATCAAAATTTTTTGTGTGTACATTTTCACTTTTGACAATGACCGTGAATGATCAAAATATCAAGTTTTGTAGAATACAATTTTAAAATTAGCTGCAATTAACATGAAACTATCAAGTCAAAACCGTAGCTCTATAATAACTAATAAAAACTAACCTGGAGAGGCGAAATAGTCTGGATTTAAACTTGAGAAGATGTTTCATATCTAAAACTAGGTTTACAGTTCTTTCCTTTCAATTCTGAGGTAGCGAGTGGACGTAAAACATTTTTTTATACAGAAACTTTTAAGTTCAGAATCAAATAAATCAGGCTTAAATTTTATCATGCGAATTTTTTACAAAAATAAGTTTGAAACTTTAAACGCCTCTTGTAACAGTTACCGTATATCACAACAGAAATAATTTTTCAAAAAATTACGAGACAAAAAAGCCAGTAAATTTTTTTCGGGTCTATAGACTAATGTTAAAAAGAAAAATATTAAATAACTAATATTAAAAATCAATTTAGTATTGACATCATCGCCCGGTTTAATTTTTTCAAAATATAGTTAAGTATGCTTCTATTTTACAACAAGAAAAAGATTTATTAGTCCAGATCAAAAAATATCTAAATAAGGCACAAAAATATTAAATTGATTTTTAATATTAGTCATTTAATACTTTTCTTTTTAACATTTTTCGGTATACTGATTTTTTTCATGGGACAGACGGGTTCGAGAAAACATTATTTACTCACGGAGTCGGGCTCACGAGACGGGACAAAAATTTTTATGTTCGGGTTCGGGGTTACGAGCTCGGGACACCAGAAAAGTTTGTCCCGCAGAACTCTACATGAGGTGCACATTTTGCCCAAAAAGGGACGAAAGAAGAAAATTATCTTCCGATATATCATTACCGAACATTCCTGTACATGACGAAATAAGCCCAAAGTAAGTCGTTTTCGAGGAAAGATAGCGTCGTGTAGAACGATGATTTTTTTATCGTAAACGTCGCATTACTTTTGAGCCAAACCAGAGCTGGTACCGGTTCGGTAAACCAGTACCGGACAAGATCGGTTGAAAAAGTCAACCGGGCCGGTAAAGACCGGTATTTCACCGGTTGAAACTTTTGAAACATCTGCTCTTTTTATCTTGGTTTTCGTCAAAAACACTAAAGTTTCATTTCTTGAGCATTGTCTTATTTATTCTGACTGCAGTCAGAATAAATAAGACGATGCTCAAGACAGATATTATTTTCACCACTTGTTTTAAGATTAAATATTATAGACTCATTATTGTGAGGGTTCTCTCACATGTGCTTGCAAACTACTTCATTTGTGGGCGAAATTCTTTCTGAAAATCGATTTTCAAAAAATTTCGCCAAGTTTTCGCCGGTTTGAGTTATAGTTCCAACCGATCCGTTTACCGGCCGGACCGGACCGGTTTATCTTTTCTCAAACGGTTCCAGCTCTGAGCCAAACACCACTCATAGGTGTTAGATGTTTCATTTTCATCAGAAATGCTTTCATCTACAAACTGTCATTATGCAAATACAATTATTTAATTGAGTCTCACTGGAATGAGAGAATTTTTGGAAACACTTTTTTAAGATTTTGAAAAGAAGGAAGACTATTGCCTATGCAGTTGTTTTTGTGAACAAAACTCTCCTTATGTTCAGAAAATCTTTCCGTGGATAAAAATCGCTTTATCAACAATCCTGTAAATCTAACGTCGGGGTTCCACAGAATAAATGGCGGTCTATGTATTTTTGAGTTTTCTTCTCTCTCTCAGATCTTCACGAGTTCTCTTTTTCGAAAAAAAAAGGACTCACTAGAAAAAGGCAGAACGTTGACCATCTCAGGATGTTTGATTTTGGTCGAGTTATAAAAATTATCCTAACTGCTCCAAAACTACAGTTTCACCAGCGGTGGGGACAGTTTTTTTCTTTTATCGATTTTGTCACAACTCATCGTTTTCAAACTGCAGTTTTAGAGTAGTCAGGATAACTTTTATAACACTACAAAATCAAACACCGTGAGATGGTGTCGATTTTATCTTAAAGCAGAATAAATCTTTCATCTCATCAGAACAGAAAAAGCTCAATAGCTCCATTCCTTTTCCTGTGTCAAGATGAAAAAGCCAAATTTCTCTCTTTTCTAGTGGATGTTAATAAAATCATTTGTAATGTCTTATAACACATTGAAAGTGAACTGATGATACACGAAAAGAAAATTAACACTTCGAAGCACTGGAACATATATTTCGACTACACTTTGTTGTGTAGGATCGTGTTTAAAATAATCTTTATCGTTGTATTTTGGATTAGAAAATTGTTGAGATTGAAGCTTCTCACCATTTCTTCTATATTTTTGTATTATCATAGTATATAGAAAAATGTTCGACATGTTTGTTGTAGCGAATGAAATGCCGAATTTTTTCCAAAAAAAAGGAACCCATGGCGAGAACCCTAAGAGAAGGGAGAGAAAACAGGAATGCGCTATTTATTATATCGCATCCGTAATGATTCAGACATTATGCTAGACTAATGAAAATTTTTACGAAACCATAATCATGAGAAAGGGGATGTGAGTGTAACATGTATGATAAAAGTAAGCATCAGCAAATCTCTTAAAAATAATATTATATAATTTAAAAATATTACAAAAAAATGCAAAACTGACTTGAAGAGAGACACACTCCAATATTGTTGACATACGCGTAAATTAGTAGAACTAATGTTCTCATTCACGAAAATAAACGAACTTATGCTCACATCTTAGATAAAATCTTCAAACGATTCGATACAACCTGAAAACTCTTAAATTATAGAATATTTTATAGTAAAATATGAACACGGTTCATTTCCTATGTTGAAAACACGACGATTGATATTTGAATGTATCATAACTGTTAACTATGAATACGAAAAACTAAGATAAAGAGAAAATTGAAAAACAATTATAATAAGCTGAAAATATTGTCTATACCAGTTAATACAACGATCACTATTTAAATATTGATTAAACATATTTATAGATCACGACGAGCTAAAACAGTAATAACATGATGGAAAATAGCATTGAAAGCATTGGTAGATGGCAGTTAGACTTACTCTCAACTTGTACATAAGCTGTTTTTTCTGCTTTTCCTAAAGCATTTGTTGCTATACAAGTATAAACACCTTGATCTGTATTTTGTAGAGTTTGGATTTGAAGCCATGATGTTAAAACATGAGCATTTGGACCACCTCGAACAAGTGTCGATATGCGATCGTCATCGGCTAAACAAATGATAAATGCAGTACTCTTTAGTTTAACTTATATGGACTCTGTTTCACTCAACTATAAACCTGTCTGAGTCATAAACTGTCAAAGAGCAATAAGTATAGAAGCATAGAGCGAATTGTCTGCTCTAAATATGAGACAACCTTCCCGTATATAACTCTAATCTAAAATAACTCTATATTCTTTTAGTCTTCAATCTTACTTGGATAAACAATCGTTTTTCCAGCTGAAGGTTGGTAGATCCATTCGACAACTGGTAACGGTACACCAGCAACTTCACATGTTAAAAATACGTTGCTACCTGTTTGATTAACAACATTTACTGGTGGCACAGTAATTTCAGGTGCTAAATGAATCAAAACGTTATGATATTCATCGATTATAACTTTGACTACTTACGTGAATCACATGGTTTTCGTTTATAAACTTTAATGATAGGTTGTTGTTCAGCTTTGGCCAATTTAGCTGATTCCATTAAATGACAATAATTTCGATATGTTTTACCATCAGAACCACATAATTCTATTTGATCATTGCATTCACACAATGCTTCCTGATGGGTTTTAACTTCTGGACGAATTCTATGGAACAACAGTATAATTGCCTTTGGATACTCTTCGAGTTGAAATGTTTATCTTACCTGCATTGAAGATTTTCACCACATGAACCATATTTTTTTGCTGACGGAGCATCTAAAATTTTCTCATGCAAATTAATTAAAAATAAATAATTTTAGAACGGTTTACCTGGATGATCACATAATTCACGCTGAATTAAAGTAAGTATAAAATAGAATAAAAAAAAGTGCATCGTATGTACAAGATGAAATTTACCTCACGTTGTGCGCAAACTTGACAACAACCGCAAGCGTCTAATGATAAACCGGCCAAACATTCTTTATCCGATGTCTATAAATGTGTTAAACGAATCAAAGTTTAGTTTCATTTGTTCTAAATCAGTTTATTTGAAACTAAGTAATAATTTACTCAACAAAGCGGGCCTAATCCATTATATGTTGAGAGAGTGAAGCAACAATAGTTTAGTGGTTACGATGGTTTAGTGGTTAGGTAGTGGAAAAACATATGTCATATCTCAGTTACCCGAAATCGATTAGCCAAAGAGAAATGAAAGTGTAAGAATTTAACGACTGTAAATAATTTACTCACAGAGGTAGTATTAGCATTCAACATTGTAAAAACGAAAAAACAAATCTAACTATTAGATGACGGTATATTGATCCAATTTTTACAACTGAGTGTTTTGTATGAAAATTTGCAAGCTGTTCTAATGTGGGTCTGATCAACGGGTATTTGTATCTGAAAAAGTTCAGCTCGACATTTCGAAAAAATACTCACCATTGGACATTTGCCTGGATCACATTGGCCGCATACAACAGGTTTTGTTGGTACAACAGATACTGCCCATGTTTGGACATTTGTCCCAATGAAGAGTAAAAATAAATTTAAAATAATCTTCATTTTGTTTGCGTTTTTCTGTTGAAAAAAAAATCTACAATATATCGACCGTTGTTTTGTATGTTGGATGGTTGCGATTAACGTTGACAAATTTTGTCCCAAAAAAAGGAATACCAACGTTTTTCTTCCCTTTTCTTTTTTTTACGTCGTCGTCGATAATAATATTATTATTATTATCTCAACAGATAAATACAGCTTCAAAAAAAAACCACAAAAAAATGTTCCATCTCATAGACGTCGGTTTGCGTTGTCCTTCTTCTTTCACACGTAATAGGAATACTCCTCCCAGATTCTGTACCGACGGCAGCATCAACAACAACAACAAACAGAACTTCATTATGCAAGTCTTTTCTCTCTCTCCTATGTTTTATTTTGTTCTTCTGTCAGATACCCCAATATATACATATATAATATCTACACTACTCTGTATGTTCGATATATTAAAGTTGGGTTATATATGCTGTAACCAGATGTATAGTTATGCATATTGCAAAGAGAAAAAAGAAAAGAAAGTTCTTTTTTTCATCATTATACATTTTATCTTTTAAGCGTTTTTTACATGAATTGAGATATACCGTCCATACCGATGTTACAACTGTACATTTTTTCTTTTCTTTGTGAAATAAAGGGAAAAGAAAACAGAACACATACAGAACTCATTTTCGTTATCGTATACCTTTTATATATTCATGTAAGATGACTATATGAGAAAAAGTGTACGAAGAAGTTCTGTTAAATAAACAATATCACAACCAAATTAATTACTCAATGCCAGACGATTTGTTTCTCCGTGAACTAGAACAGAAGCTCTCTTGATGCGTTTTGTCTACGGTTCAGCTAAAATTCATTTTAAAGTGATTATTATAGAGAGAAGTGTTTAAGACTCAGTATTATAAGTTTGAATATATTAAATCAGTTAAAGAATAATGTTTGTTCAATAAAAATTTTAAAAAATATTCGTGTTTCTTTATGATATAAACAATAGGACCTATTGCGGTTACTATGATTACTGGTTGCTCCTCATACTATTCTCGAACGTTTCTTTTGGTTTGCAAAAATTTTATATTGAATAACAGATTTTGTAAAGATGTTCTGTCATGTTTCAAAAACATTTTCATTGGTTCGATGATACTGAATTACACGATCAACAGAACAGTATTTATACAAAAATAAAAAACTATTCTAAAAAGCTTGTTAACACACATCAAGAAAACATTCAATATGTTGAGTCAAATATCTATTTTAATCAACAATTTACTGAAAAACGTCAACCAAGACTATTAGTTCAATGTCAACGATTTTGTTTACAATCGATCTCAGCATCGACAAACGATAGATTCAAAGACTATTTGATTGAACGTGAAGATAAAATACGAGATTTTTTATATCATATTAATACAAAATTAAATGTTCATAATTTAACATTAGATAATTTTAAACTAGTAAGAGAATTAGGTCGCGGTGGATATGGAAGCGTGTTGCTAGCCTTTTATCCAGATACAAATGAATTCCATGCATTAAAAGCTGTTAAAAAATCGTCATTAGTTGAGACAGACGAACAACGTACGATCATTCATGAGCGACAATATGCATTTGCCTTAAGGCATCCGAATATTGTTGAATTAATCACAAGTTTTAAAGATAATGAATATGTCTATTTGGTGCTAGAGTGGTTACCCGGCGGCGATCTCTATTCACTGATGACTTCACAGAAACTAACGGAATTACAAGCACTGTTCTATGTTGGACAATTGGTTATGGCTCTCGATTATTTACATCAGTGTAAGGTAGTATTTCGTGATCTGAAACCAGAGAATATTGTATTGACAAAACGAGGTTATTGTAAATTGGTTGATCTTGGATTAGCGAAAATAATACGAGGTTATTCTGAAACATTTTGTGGTACACCTCATTACATTGCACCAGAAGTTATTCTTCATAAACCGTACACTTCATCTCCAGATTGGTGGGCTTTAGGTGAGGGTTGAAGAGAAGAAAAACGCCTTTTTGTTTAGTTTCGTCGAGGTGATGTTATTCTAGGTGTTATTTTACACGAGATGGTAACCGGTGAGGCGCCGTATGATCGTTCTTATCATGAAAATACAACAAGCTATGTATCACAGGATGAAGATGATGAGAACCATGAGAATAGTTCAAAGGATGCAAAAGATGTAAATAAATTGGATCAGGAAACAAGCCATGCATATTTTGGTCGATCGAAATCAACAAACGAACCATCGTCCGAAGATAACATTCGACAATCGTCAAGACACTATAATATGTACAACCACATCCAAAATATGCGTATAATTTATAAAAAGAATACCTGTTGCTATCACAGATCTTGCGCAGCAAAAGTATTTGAGACGGTTTTTTTAACCAAAATGTTGCAATATATCTCTATTCCACTAGAAAATCACTTCAAATTTTGACCTTCTCTTTTAGAGAGCCTGTAAAAGTCAATTTTCTATCAACAATTCAAAATTATGCGAACAAGAAAAAAGTTTTACGATTAGATAACGATATTCAACTGTATTCTAAAACAAAATTTTCTTCACAAACTATCTTACATGGCTTTGACCGTGCGTGATATAAAATTTTTCGAAGAAATCAAAATGTCTCAGATCGCAAACCATATAAAATTTCGGAAACATCTCATTCGAAAATGAATTAAAATAAAAATTCTGTGTCGAGCACTTTTGTTGTGAGAGATGTGTGACAGCAACAAGATTTTCTAAAAATCTAGTGCATAATTTTGACCGTAATTGCATATATTATACAGAAAATTAATCCCAAGAATTCTTTGTTTATCTCTATCTTTTTCTTCAGGTATTTGCGTATTATCAATGGATGTGCGAAATTCAATTTTAAAAATGTTTCAAATAATTGTGCTGATTTGATCAAAAATCTATTAAAATTTAATGTCAATCAACGTTTAGGATGTGGTGAGAAAGGTAAGACTGAGAGAAAAAGATCGAATATTTTATTCTCATTCTGTTTTACATTGATATAGGTGCATTAGATGTAATGGAACATGTTTGGTTTGAACATCTTGACTTTTGGAAATTGTATAATCAAGAGTACATTTCACCATTCATACCTGTTCGAAAACGATATATACCAACACGATATGATGATAGGATTTTGATGAAAATGAGTACAGAAAACTACTATGAAAAAGAATTTGCAGATTTTTGATTGATCTACTTTTGATACATTTCACGGATTGTCTTAACTAACGTATCCTATACGTAGGCTTTGGTTGAGTCGAGTCTATCATCTGTCTTATATTATGTTATAATATTCTTATATTAGTAATATATAAATCAGCTGCCTACTCTATATTACTACTTATTTCCTTCTTCCGGATATGCGTAGGCCAAGCTCATCTCTTTACGCCATCAAATAAGAAAGAGACAAATCGCTCTTCTTACACAATTGATTTTTTTATCTACTTTCATTTTCAAATGAATTAGTGAACATCACTAGAAGATGACACTTTATTATGGCAGAAATCTAATAAGTTTCACCATAATTTTGACTAATCAAAATAATTTACTTAAAAAATCTTTATATATTTTTAATTTGGCTGAACATGCACAATATTTTATTCATAAATAAGTTGACATTATCACGACTACAGTTTTATTTAGTAATAAAAATTAATTAAAACCTAAACTATTTACGTTACTTTCAAACTACTATTTACTAGCACAAAATTTTCAAACATATACAACACAGAACTCATCGTCCCTATATTGTAAGTATATAGAAATGTATTTTTGGCAAAAATGACTAGTGTTTGTTCAACGATCGTTAAGAAATATCGAGGGTTATTCACTACCGGAACTATATATCATTGGTTTTCTTTCAAAATAAATCGAATTAGACTTGTAATAACTCATTTTAAAACTGAAAAATTCCCGTAACGAATAAATCATGAATCAGTTTTTTTTAATTACAATAAGAGAGAAATTCGATCTTAACAAGCAAACTTCTTTTCCAAAACCTGACGAGAAAAATGGATCTACTGTATTTTTTTATTTTGGAGGATTAAGTGTTGATGAAGGAAATATGTGTGTCTCTCACCGACTTATAGAACTTAGTCGTTATCACAGAGCCATAAGCATATTTTAACAACAAATACATTGTAACCTGAAAAGTCGAACAGAAACAATCATTTCAATTGGTCAATATAAATTCGATTTTGTATCGTTTTTCATAAAACTGTAGAAATAACGAGTGATCCAGAATAAATTGACCATTTAGTATGTTTGCTCATATCTCTCAGTTGAATTTTATCCCCTAAGCTTTACTGTTTTCTTAAAAGATGCGCCGTGAAATTCTCTAAAAAAATATATCAAACATTTTTTTATATACTGTAAAGATAAAAAAATGTAGAAGAAATACTGCGAAGGTTCGATCTCGATTACTTTGTAACCTCAAAAACAATTTTTTCAGTTTTAGTTCTGCATATTTTACGAAACAAAAACCAAGAGATGCGTATTTAGTAGTCCGTAAAAAGCTCTAGTAGCTATATTTAAAACTCTTCGTCATCATAATCGGTCGTGGAAGAATTTGTTTTCTTATATCGATTTTCCCCGAAATCAACATTTTCCAACTACAATTATGATGCAGTTAGGAAAACTTTTATAATTCAGTCAAAAATTAAACATTTTGAGGGCGGGTTGGTTTTATCCTAAAGTAAAATAATTCTTTTGTTACATCCGTACACAAAAAATCCAATATTTTCTCTTCTTTTCCTGTGTCATGGCGAAAAAGATAAAATTTCCCTTTTCTTTGTTAAACTTTAGTACAATCATCGTTTGTGCCAGAAAAACACGTTTAAACCGAATCTCTGGTAAACGAAAAGAAAGACGACACTTTGAAACACCAGAACTTACGTTCTGATTCTACTTTGACGTATGATACTGTGTTCAAAATAAATTTGTTTTCCTTGTCGTTTGGGTTACAAAGTAATCGAGATCGAAGCTTCACAGTATTTTTCCTATATTCCTTTATCTTTACAGTGTATAAAAAATGTTTAATATATTTTTTTTTAAAGAATTTTACAGCGCATCTTTTAAGAAAACAGTAAAGCTTAGGGGATAAAATCCAACTAAGAGATATGAACAAAATACTAAATGATCGATTTATTCTGGATCACCCGTTATATAGTTAACTGAACATAACAGATTAAAGAAAATCTATTTCACCTAAGACTATGCAGTTTATTAGCTCGCTTCAATAACTAATCCTTAGGAGAAAAAAAGATAGAAGAAAAATTGCTGAAATACTTAATATTTTCTCATTTTTCAAGGTTTTATTCTCGAGCGTATCATCACCATCATGTTTTCCAAGAAATTTTCAATCATATTTGTCTTATGTCTCATTGAATTTATCAGCATACAACAAATCCATGCTAGACCATCTTATGAATTCAATGATCTCGAAGATACTATTGATGATTCAGAGTCAACAACAAGTGAATTAACCAAACGAGCTCAACGGTTACCATGGTTATTAAAGCGACGTGTGTGTGACTACCGTCTTCAAATGAGACCATTGCCATTAGATGCATCAGAATTATGTTCTTATGGTGGAACGGGATTTGAATACTCGATACCAAAACATGGTTAAACATCATATGATTTTTGATGAAAAGAACTATTTTCATCGCTCAATTTGAAGATTGTTTTATGCCTGAAATTTTTTTTCTGTCTTATCCTTTATTTTTAAATCAATGATGTTAATTTTACACTGCGACAAGCGATCAGTGATTTATTTAACATATTTAGAATAAAACTACAAGATTATTTATTTCTGCTATTATTTTCAGGCTATATACTACCATTATAAGGAAAGATTTAAAAAGTCAATTCAATATAATGCAATGATCATTAACTGTACTTACCTTGCTAATTCGATCAAAGACAGAAGAACTGAGTTTTAAATTAGAAAGAAAAGTGTCTGCCAATGGGATCGATGAATTTTTCATTTTGTTAAAACTAAACGGGATATGTTCAGATAGAGACAAACACATTATCAGAAAAAAAAATAAAAGAAAATTAAAAATGTAATATTCAACTTGCAGCATTATTTCTTCTTTTTTGCATACAGAGTTTGTTTAATTACTAGAAACAGTACAACGAGTATCTGAGAAAGAAGCCATACTCATTCGAGATGAATCGAACCCAAATTGTTAGCATAGAAAAATCAAAGAAGTTTCTTTGTCAAAACTTTCTGAACAAATGACTTCAAAAAAGTATATAAAATTCGGATCCAAACAACCTTGCTTAGTTTACGGCGACAAACGTGTATTCATGAAGTCATTAATCAAATTTTTTGGGTTATAAATAAAATGGTGTTATGTATCTCTGTGATCTATCATTCTTTTATCAACTTTGATTTAGAGCTAAACGGAGACAAGACAATGGTGTATAAATACAATAGTTCATTTTGATTTATTAAGATAGCTTAAAAGTTCTAAATTATTTGTTGATAAATCAATCTAGTTGTTGATTTCTTATTAAACCGAAAGGTTTTGATCATCTGTTTCTTTGACAAAAGATAGTTTTCTGTCTATAGCAACTAATTTCAGGTCATTCTACACAATGAATTTTATAATTTTCAATAAATACTATTTTTTATCCTTCAAATTTGTTTCAAATAATCTATCCGTACATCAGTCAAATAATAATGAAGTACAAGAGAAAAAGTATTTCCACAATAATTCTCTAAACTAAATATCTGTATCGAGCTTTTTAGCAAATAATTCTACCATATTATAATGTTATCCATGGCAATGATTTGTTTTTCATTTCATCTATATATTTCAAGATAAATTACAACATAATATTATTACAGAGATGTTTTTTTACACAAGGTTTTTTTTTGCGTTGTTTCTTTCATTTCAGAGTAAAAAAAAAAAGAAAAAAACGAAAATTTATGAACAAAAAAGAAAACAACGCAAGGAACAAAAACTACTGAGAAAAGCTGATTGAGAGAAAGAGAGATAAACAAATTGATCATATTCATACAAAAAAAAAAAGAACAAGCTAATGTTCGAAATAAAGCAAACTACACAAAGTTGCTCAGACAAACAAAACAACGCTGCTTAAATACGTCAGGCAAAAAAAAAAAACGAAAATTTGAATAAGGATGAATGTCGCTGCTTGTTCTCTGTGACCGCACAAAAAAAAAATTGAAAACATTGAAATTATATGAATGAAAAAAAAAGAGATTAACACACAAATGTATTTATCGTAAAAATGCAAGACGAAATCAATTAATCAATAATAACTACATCACCCTTCTTTTCAATTTTCAATGATAAATCGTGTACGACACCTAAAGAACTATTAAAGAAGTATTAAAACCCATACTAATTTCTGTAAATATGAACATACTACTACAGATGAGAAATAATCGTTAGAAACAAATACCTGTTGTATTTGATGTATTCGATTTTATGACGCGTGCTTGTGTTGGTGTCGTGGTGGTTCTAGTCGTTGTTAATGGTGATTCAACAGAGGACGTCGATGATGATGTGACAACAGGAAAATTTAATGATGGCGATGAAGATATCACAGCTGAAGTTGAACTAGCTAAAAAAAAAGAAAACTCTTTGCATTTGGTATTATTTCGAATAAAAATACAATTTCTTGAGATTGTTTCATACCTATTGTTCCATTTTCTCATAAATCTCTTTTATCATGGTATTTGAAAATACGTATACACACATAGACACACAAAATATAAATTTGAACTTGAGAGAGAACAACGGAAAAGAAGGAAATAACTAACGGTATAACGGGAAAATAAAGAGTAGAATAATTCCTCATGAGCATGTATACAGATTGAAAACTTCGTCAACACACGTTTACTGTTATTTGAACAGTAAACATTCAGACACTTTTTGATTTTTCAACAGACCTGCTACAAATGAGGATGAAAAGAAAGAGAATAAGGAGTTATACGGATGCGCTTCTTCATTCAATCCATCAAATCCTCTCTCACGTTTGACATTCAAATATATATGATAATGTATCAATGTGCTTTTATTTCCAACACTCTAACTTAAACTTATCTGAGTAAGGAAGTTATCATTGATCGTAATCATTGAAAATGGAACATTATTTTATGCGACAAGACAATCTCAATTGAAGAGATAGATATGAAACATCTCAAAATTCGAATACTTGTCTCATGTGAATAACAAAATTTCGGTCTTTTTGTTATACTGTACGATCTCGGAATAATAAGATAAGAAGTTCGGCAGCATAATTGAAAAGAAATTCTCACTTACATCCCGTTTTGTTGTTAGCCAGTGCTGGTAATGCAAATGGGCCAATAAAATTCGAATAAGTCGAATATGGATAATTGTTATTACTCGTAGGTGAGGACTGTTGCTGTCCATTTGGTAAACGTGATAGTATAACACGCTCGGACATATTCAATCTTTGTGTCACGGGCGGTAGTCGTGACAATGTTGCTGGTAGTTTATTAATTTCTTGTTTCATATCACTCAATAATTCTTCAAGCTGCGTAAGTACTAAAAAAATGAAAAGAAATAGCTTTTTGTTGTTTTTTCCTTTTATATTATCACTACCTTTATTCAATACAGCATTTGCCGGTTTATTTCCGGCTAAAGATTCTTTACTTAAATGTTGATGACATTCTGCTAAACATTCTACTTCACTAAAACGTTGTGATAATGTCAATGCTGGATTTGTTTGTTCCATCGCTAAACCGAGAAATGCTGCACGACGTAATTGTTCTTCAATTACTAATGCTTGTTCTAATAATTTAAAGCGTCTAGCTAAAAATTTATTTTTCATTTCTAAGAAATTTCCTTTGCCCATTTCCATTTTAAATGGCTCGTTAATTATTGAATATTTTACATCGCTTTGTATATCTTGCCATCGACCATATCCATGTGTAACAACACCAGCCAATAACCAATAATCATGTCGACGATGCCATATCTCATGTTCATGATTACTAACCAATGCACGTTGTTCATTTAACCACAGTGAATGTAATTCAGTAAAACCACCATCCGCAATGTTAAACATAAACTTATAATCTTTCAATTTTTCATTACGATTTGGCTGAGCAGATTTGTGGCGACCAGTTGTTGAATTAGGCGCTGTTATTATGGACATTGGTTTTTCATCTAAAATAAATGATGAAACAGTCTCTCTCTCCAATCCGATCATCTATGTATCAAACTCAAGATTCACCTGACTGTTTATCTGTTATATTTTTTTTCTCCTCATCAACATCATTGGATGCTTCAGTCGTTTCTTTTTCATCTCGCGTCACACCATTTGGTTTCATTAGTAAATCACTTAAACTCATAGATTCACCAATTAAATTTCCTCCTCCATTTGTACTATCATTTACTGATGTTGTTGTTGTTCCTTCCGTTGTCATTAATTCATTTGATTCGGACGATTGTAAATTTGTATCGTTTGTTTGTACCATCGATGAGAGGCTTGTTGCACTGTCTGTTTTATTCAATTGTTTTAATGGTGGTTTCGTACCAGTGAATTGCGTTGACGTTGACGAAAACTCATCCATTGATTCAGCTGAAATATCAGATGGTGCCATTTCAGGCATTGACCAGATGCCATTGATAGACTCAAATTCTTGAACCTAAATAGCAAATGTTTTGTAACAATAACGAGCACGTCAGAACTTGACTACTACTAACCTTTTTTCTTATTAATGACATAATACCAATTCTTGATAAAACGTGGTGTCTTGACAAGCCTTCTCTAGGTACGCCATCGCTGAATGTATCGGAATTATCTAGTATATTTTCGCATAAATGTTTCATAAAAAGCGATACATAGGCACGAAATTCTTTTTCCGATTTACAACGTAAATCTCTCACAAGCCATTGTGATTTGAATGCATCTGGTGGTGGTATACCAAATCGCATAATGGCATTCAAAAATGCTTTACGTTGTCTTGGATTAAAACCGAGTACTTCAATATTTGTACCCATTTTATTTAACAATGGCGGTAACGGACGATCACGACCGGTTTTTCGTTTACGATCGGGTGTTTCATCAAAATCAACATCTTCTTCTTCGCCACCAGCCGACGGTGCATCGTAATCTGACGCTTGATCGGAATTTGGTTCATTCCAATCTGGATCTGTTGTTGGCACAGCATAATTAACCAAACGTTTCGAACGTTTTCCTTTTCCATATGCATGATTTTCATTTTCACGATCTTGTTCATAATGTGCACGCAACAACTTTTCCCAAAAACTTGCATCTTGATTTTCATCCATTGTTGCTTGTATTTGTTGTTGTAGCTGTTGACGTTGATACAGTTCTTGTTCATCTTCTTCATCTTCGTTTGTGTCACGTGTCACATAGCTTGCCACTTTAAACGAACTCAGATATTCATTCAGACCCACTTCCTTTTCTTCGATGCCTTCTTGTGAACGATCTAACAATTTTTCAATTGTTTGATCATCATAATGAATTTTTTGTCCGGAATTTTCACCACTTTCACCAACACCTCCACCATCATCATCGTCTTTAAATAAATCTGCGAAAGAAACAGAACTTTTAGAGTTTGTATTTTTGCTAAGTGTTTTACATTTACCTTCTGTACCAAACCGTAAAATATCATCCAATTCTTTTTTGCTCATATTTGTACCACGACCAACGCCTGGACGAACAATCAAATGGGTTAACATCATTTTCTTCTTGGCTACTTGAGTAATACGTTCTTCAACCGTGTTACGTGTGACAAAACGATAAATCATCACTTTGTTTTGTTGACCAATACGATGGGCACGACTAAGAGCCTGAAATTGAAATATCATATGTGCTATTATTACAATACCACTCTTCTCCTTCAGTCAATTTGTTGAAGTGCTTCTAGCCGTCTACAACATCATCTCGATGGTTCTTTTACCAAAGTATGAAGAAAAATAGGCTCAGATACCCTTTTAGTGATTTATATCCTACGTTGGCGAAAGTTTATTCGTTCTGTCCGATCAGTTTATCGATATTTGATAGTGAAAGAGTCGTGCATTGCAAACACTTTAGCAAAGTAGTATTTCAGCTTACTTGTATATCGTTATGCGGATTCCAATCACTATCATAAATAATAACCGTATCGGCTGTTGCTAAATTGATGCCTAATCCACCCGATCGTGTTGATAATAAAAAACAAAATTGTTCTGCACCTGGTGCATTAAATCGATCAATAGCATCTTGTCGTTCCATGCCACCTGTTTTACCATCCATTCGTTCATATTTATAACCCAAAAATTCCAAAAAATCTTCCAAAATATCCAACATTCGAGTCATTTGTGAAAATATTAGAACACGATGTCCTTGATCTTTTAATTTTTTTAACATTTTTGATAATAAATCTAATTTTCCACATGCTTTTATTAGTGCGTTACCTTCATACGCTAAATTAGGCGCACGTGGTGCTTCGAAATGACCAGCTGGTAATAAGTATGGATGGTTTGAACATTTTTTCAATTCCATAACAATATTCAACAATGACACTTGTCCACCACCACCTTTCACATTTAATGCATCAAAATTTTTTGTTAATATAGCACGATAATATTTTTTCTGTACCGGACTTAATTCTACACGAACAATAAATTCTGATTTTGATGGCATATTTTTTAGAACATCCGCTTTCAATCGTCGCAACATATGTGAACCTAATAGATCATGTAGTTTTTTCACTTGTTCATCACGCGCTAAATCGCTAAATTCTTTTAGAAAACCGTCCATGTCACTGAATTTTTCTGGTGTCAAAAAATTTAATAAATGATAAAGTTCTTCGAGATTATTCTGTAACGGTGTACCTTAAACAAAAAAGAAAAATTCTTGTTCTATATACTCGTTACAACGATGCATTTCGATATACGTACCTGTAAGTAGTACTTTATAATTGATACTAAAGTCGCTCAATGTACGAAAAAATCTTGATTGATTGTTTTTTAAACGATGTGCTTCGTCGACAACTAACACTGACCAGTCGACGCTCGATAATGTGGCTGAGTCAACACTAACTAATTCATATGATGTTAATAATGCATGAAACTTCACTTTACAACCACTACGTATGCGACTTGCACGTGGACCACTACGTATAGCATCCTCGTCAAATGAAAATTCATTTTTACGAATAACTGAACGTGCCTCTTTATCACCTGTATAAGTGACAACATACAAATCGGGCGCCCAAAATTCAAATTCACGTTCCCAATTGATTATTGTTGCCAATGGAGCACTAATTAAAAATGGTCCACGTGATAAACCTTCTTTTAATAATGCTTGAAGAAATGAGATTGTTTGGATTGTTTTACCTAAAAGAATCAATAAATAAATAAACAGTTTAGATTTCGTGTCCGCTTTAAATATTTATATTTAATATTATTTTAACTGCAACGATCTCACGGTTAACCTACCAAGACCCATTTCATCGGCTAATATAACGTCTGTATTTTGCGACCACGAAAATCTTAGCCAATTTAAACCTTCTAATTGATATTGATGAAGGTTACCACCCGTTGCTTCGATAAAATCTGGTTGTTTTTCATAACGTTTGCGTGGTGGCGGATATTTGCCACCACTGTCGTCAGGTGAATCAATACCAGTATCCAGACCGCGATTTGCATCATCAGAATAATCCTTTATGATTCTTTTGGACGCTTTTACTGATTTTTTCTTCTTTTTTTCATCATCCGCAGCACCATTTCTAAAAAGAATTAAAAAATGTCATATATTTTTCCAAACACAAGCACTAATTACCTCAATTTCCAGTAAGAATCAATATGTTGCTGCCAATCGGCCAACAAATCTGTATATTCACCATCTTTTTCCACTTCCCATGTTGCTTGTTCATAACCTAAATCGCGCCATTTAACCAGATAATACATTGGACCATTTTTCTCTTTACGATGATTGATGATACGATGCACAGTAAGCCATTCTGGTCTAATACCATGTTTATAATATCGATCATCTAATTTTGGATTCCAATAACGTCGTGACACCTCCTCATCTTCTTCTTGCTCTTGTTCTACATCAATTGTTAGTTGTGGTTGTTTAGCATCACGTATTTTTTTCTCATAACAACGCCATAATGCTGGTTGATGTACTTCTAATTGTAATTCCGGTATCCATTCACATGACCAATAGGAATAACCATCATATTTCACAAAGAATTCGCGTGTTTTTGGTGGTCCTTTTTTACCCCCAGGCAGTAATGTTAGATCAGAGAAAGGAACCAAACGCTGTCTTACATCTGCTGGTGCATCCGTTGTTGTATCAGTGGTAGAAGTTTGTTCAGTAGTTGTTGTAGTGGATGGGGGATCGCTTTTTGTAGTTGTTTGTGTGACTGTTGTGGTGTCGATGATAGCTGATGGATCAGGATGTGTGATCCAACGCCATGTGATAACTTTTTTAACAACATAGCGTGGCGGTTCAATCTAAAAACACGAAAGACATAGTTTATGTCATCTGGAGAAGAATTGAGGAAAAGGAATAAAGAAGAAAGAGATGCTTCAAGCAAGCAGAGAAATGTACTTACTGTACACCTTGGACAAAACCAATCTTCTTCTGGTATAATTGTCATCGGTGGTATAAGACAATGCATATGGTAAGATGATGGACAATGATCGCAACATAACAATTCGCCACCATCGCGACAAACACGACAAAATTCCATATGATGATCGTCTTCTTCTTTTCTCAGTGCTGTAACAATTGGTTGTTTCGCTGCTTGTGGTACACCGTCTTTAACACAAACTGGACATGACCAGTCACCTTCGGGTGCTTGTTCTAATTCAGGATCGAGACATACTAAATGATAGGCTTTTGGGCATGTATCGCATAAAATAATTTCACCACCTTGTTGGCAAACTTCACAATAATCTTGATGATCTGTTTCGCAGACACCTGGTTCTGACATACTTCTGTTTGTTGTTAATGGTGTGGCTGTCGTTGCCGAAGTTGATAATGATTCATCTTGGGTATTATTTTGTATTGGTTTTCGATTTAAACGAGCAATTTTTTTGGGTGGCTTTGGTGGTTTCTTAACACGTTTCTTTTTAGGTTGTTCTTCCTCTTCCATTTCACTTTGTACTAACATCGCTTCGAATTCTGCATCCGATTCATTCGACGGATCTTCGTCATCACGTCGTTTACGTTTTCTTGCACGATTCGGTTTTTTCAATGCTGTAGCAGCTGCTTGCTGTTGTTTCAATGACTTATCCATATCACCAACACTAGTATCTAACAAATCCGAATTTGTTATTGTCAACTGCTGTTGTTCCTTTTGTTCTTTTTGGCCAAGTTTAATCTTAAGTGCAGGAACTCGTTTATTTCCGCCACTTTTACGTCCTCTGGTTGACGAAGTAGACACTTCGGCTTCTGGATCTTCGACATCATCCGGATCAATTTCATCTTGAGCCGTTTGTTTTCGTCGGCGGGATCGACTCGAGGACAGTGTAGGTGTTGTTGATGGTGGAGGCAAAAGTTTCGCTTCATTAACTTCCATACGATCATTTGAATTTGTTGTGCCTAAAAAAGAAAAAAAGCTTCACATTTCACTTTGAACAAAAAAGTAGCTTTTGCAGCTCCAGAAACATAATGTTCAGCAAGATTGTTTTTACATAAACGTTCGAAGAATTGCAAACTGCTTCATTACCATCATCATTGCTTTCATTTGATGCCATTGTTTCATTTGGTAAAATTATTTGTGTTGTTTTAGCTTCAAGAAATTCTCGCCATTTGGCTGCCATAAGCGCCATGACTTTTGACGTGGCAAGCTTGGAATATTTTTGTGCTAATATCGGACGTACATGCTGCGTAAATAGTTTAAATGTAGACAAATTGACATAATCACTATCGGTAAATTTCATATCAAAATATTCAATTCCATATTCATCACATACATCTTTTGATGACTTTTGATCCTATAAACAAATAACTCAAGTTTTATTTTTTTTTTTCATACGTTCAAAACTCAGAATACCTTGGCTTTCTTCATTTCAGTTTTAACTTCGTCTGTAATTCGTGCTTCAGACACACCACTGTTATCATCTGTTGGCATTTTAAATAGATCTATGTTTTAATCAGTCAAATAGTCATCTACAAGAGGATTAAATTTGCCTGAAGAATTCAAAATCTGAAACTGAAATTTATTCCAAGATTTTGCCTAACTAAGAGGCGGTAAGATACAAACACCTTCAACAATCAAGAATATAACAAATTTTATTAATTGATTCTGTATGCAGTAAATTAACTCGCTAAAGAGATTTTGAAAAAAATCGAATCCAACTCTATCGAGATAAACAACAAAGCTACTGTTTCACTTTGTTAGAGACTAAGGTTCACGTATAAGAGTTAGATTATAAAATGAAGACGATTCTGGTAGGTTGATACTTTTCACAAAATATATGTTCAAGATCCTTCTTTTTTTCTCCCTTATTTCTAGTACCATTTCTATGGGATTGTTTTTTTGTTCGTCCTCTCCATAAATGCATTAATTGTATTATATTATACTATATATATATATATATATATATATATTAATTAACTATTTTTCGACTTGATCAGAGTGTTTCGTCAATGGCTATTGTAATAGCGAATAGTTTTCTTTTTAGCAGCCTCTTCGAATTTAGTAGACCGTTAATTTACTTGCAGTCTGAAAGATTGCTTCCAGCTCTAAAAGTGCTTATGATAGATTCGATCAAAGCCCGTTCTTATTAATTTGAGTTTGGCAGCGCTATAATCGCGCCCCAGTTAAGGTAAGGACCTGATAGTTTTACTTCCAGCAATTGCGACTGTCAAGGTATTTTCAGATTGAAAGGCGTCGTCGGTCGCGATTAAGGAGAGTTATCTTGACTGCGTAAGTTGGATTAGAATTGTGTAGAAATTACCATTGTCATACTACCCCGGCAGAGCTTCGTATGGACTCAAAATTCTAAGTCCAGTCCATAGACCGAACAAATCCAGTCTAGTTCAGTCCGAATCCATGGAAAACAGTTTTAGTCCATTGACTCTAAAAAAGTAGTCCGGTCCACAATACAAAAACAACCTACTTTTTACTGATTTTTCCTCGATTCAAGTCGATCAAAAAATCTTTTTCGAGTCCAGACCAGTCCATGGTCTTGAAAGTTTGAGTCCAATCCAGTCCGAGCCCATGAACTCAAAAAATATTCAATCCAGTCCATACGGAGCTCTGTACCCTAGTCATTGAATCTTATATAAGAATCTGACAGGGATCTAATAAAAATCACGTCCGCTCCTTATCTGCTTTTGTTAAGAATCTTATCTGATTCTTATCAGATTCTTATATAAGAAGTGGCACGAAAGTGGAAGGAATTTCATAAGAATCTAATAAAGATCGTATAAGAGTTTCATAAGAAAGTGATAATAGTCTAATTTCTTATGAAATTCTTGTACAAAACTTTTTTTCTTCACTCAAAATGATTCTCTGCAGAGGTGGAACCGATCCTTGTCCGACCGGACCGGTACCGAGCCGGTAAAGACCGGTATTTCACCGGTTGAAATTTTTGAAACATCTGCTCTTTTTACACTGTTTTTCGTCAAAAAGCCAAAATTTTACGTCTTTTTCAGTCAGAATAAATAAGACGATGCTCAAGACAGATATTATTTCCACCACTTGTTTTAAGATTAAATATTATAGACTCGTTATTGTGAAGGTTCTCTCACATGTGCTCGCAAACTATTTCATTTGTGGGGGAAATTCTTTCTGAAAATCGATTTTCAAAAAACTTCGCTAGTTTTTCGCCCGTTTGAGTTAAAATTCCAACCGGCCAGTTTACCGGCCGGACCGGACCGGTTCACCGTTTCGCAACCGGTTCCAGTTCTGATTCTCTGGATGGTTCTCATAAGCGTTTAACAATATGAGCAAAAATTTTTTTAAAAAGATCGATCTACTCAGGGTTCGAAAACTGGTGAGTTGTTCAATCTATGGCTTCTTCTATTGAGCTACTGCTAACACATCTATACATAAACATCACATCTTTATATTCTGCCACAATATCTTTTTTAACTTGTTGTAAGTGAAAATGCAGCTGCATAGGGTTTCAGACTATGTTAATCATCCCATCCAAATAGCTTGTGTTTCAACGCAAGTCATGTGCTATGCTTCTGGAACGTCTTTGTAAACAACATATGTAGCATAGTTTAAGTACCACGATATTTCGTGCGAGAGGAAATAAGAAGAGAATAATTCTTGCAAAAATTTCGTAAGAATCTGATGTGATTTGAATTAGTTTAAAAAATCAATAAGAAATTAATGACGATTCTTATCACTTTCTTATGAAATTATTACTCGATTCTTATCTGATTCTTATGAAATTCCTTCCACTTTCATGCCACTTCTTATTTAAGAATCAGATAAGATTCTTATCCGAATTTTCAATAAATTTTTATCTAGGGTATATTAGAATTTTTTACTATATCAGCCATGTAATGATAACTTTCGTTAGAATCTGAATAAAATGATATACCTTATTAAGTTGGATAGTTCCAAAGGGTACTAAACACTTTATATACGACATTATCTTTGGACGCTGCCGTAATGAATATACTTGATTCAACTATTTGATTACCTGCCGAGTATTTGGGAAGTACTTGACAAGTTTCCTCACTTAGTAAGTCAAGTACTTGGAGGAGTCAATCACTCTTTTGTTTTACATTGACTAGTTGCATATAAAAGTCACAATACCAACCAGTATATACTTAGAAAATAAATTTCGATATTTCTACTGCGCTGAACAAACTTGGTAGCCATGCATACATCTGCTCTACAAAACTAGAGTTCGGCTGCAGAATACGTACAAAATACAAAATAAAGATAAATGGAACAAGTACTTGGATGAAGTTTTACCAGCAAATTGTATTGGGTCCAAGTGGTTGGACAAATATTTGTGAAAAAATACCAAGGACTGACTTCATTACTTGTACAAAGCACTTTTGTCAAGTACTTGACTTGAAGTACATTCACTAAGAATGAAGTCTATCTCAAAAGAAAGCCAATGAAGTTCTGATGAAGAGCATATCATTTAAAAAATTTGAAAACATCGACAAAGTATCGGAGATAAAATTGTCACTATCGATTTTTGATGAGAACGGAATATACTTAGCTAACAGTTGCTGTTAATGGCAAATATTTGATTACATATTACTCACGCTTTACAGAAAGCTGAAATCTGCTCGAAACTTTTAAAGAATCTTTTTCCCAAATAAATCTTAAATCCTGTCAGTTCTTTTTTCTAAGTTTTGTCTAAAAAGATTTTTCTCAAGATCTTGATAGGATTTGTGTGTCAGAGCTTGACTCTGTCCTAGGTTCAGATATCTAGATCAATAAATTAAAAAAATTCGAAAAGTTTTCTGAAAGTAGCAGAATTACCCTGTCGTTTTTCTATGTTTTGCTGCTTCCATTCATTCATATATAAGAAACATCGCTCGCAGTGTAAAATATTGAAAGATTTTGAAGTTGTGCATATGTTGTTTGAATATATGTCTGTTTATGCAATTTAAACATCTTCGGCACTATTACTACGATATTTTAGAGCTTACATTAGAGATGTACGGAGCACGCTACTGTTCGGGCTTTGTTTAAGAAGACGGATTATATCGTCGCTACAAAATTCTCAAAAGTTTTAAAGGGAAGAATAGGACTAAGACTGCACAAATAGCTAACACATCTAGCGCATAGCTCTTGTACTGGTTGTACAGCATTATAGAGCTTGAACCACAGAATACGGTAAAGAATATAATTCAAGATTTCATTAAGATCTTGAGCTGTAATTAGAAATCTGCCAAGATTCCGACCAATACTAACACGTTATATGATTCTAAAATTTCGTAAATCTAATTAAAATCTGCGTCAAATTTGTCCAAGGTAAAATCCACGACAAAATTGTGGACAATCTTGATCAGCAGTATCATCGAAAGATTTTATAAGGTGTCGATAAATCTGCATAATATCTTGAATTAATCGAATAGAAACCTAAGAAACCTTTAAAGTTTGATCAAGATCTTCATTCAAGATTTTTTACAGTGATATGTGTAAGAAAAATTCAAAGTGTACACAGGATACAAAACACAATGTAAGCTTATGAAAAGTATATAAACATTTGTATCTTCCTTTGATCAAAAAGGAATTAATGAAATGACATAATCTGGTTTTTAAATAATTAGAAGAGTTTAATTTAAAACGACTGTAATTATCTATTATCTCACTGAAACCGACATTGAAGCCGACAAAGCAAAGTACAATAGTCTTTCAAAATATTCCTCTTTAGTCTTTACGGTTAAAGGAAGTTAATAAAATCGTATCATTTACAAGCACAAGAATGATCGAAAAACAAATCTTATTATTGATTTTTATTATGATATAAAATAATTTAGATGCTGCTCCACCGTTCTTTTTCTTTTCTTAGTTCGTCTCTGTATTTTAATATTTATGAATAAAATATCTAGTATTAAAATAATTCAATTAAAAGTACTACTTAGATGTCGAACAAATAAGTCATTTGTTGTAGAAAAAGTCTTAATCAATAAAAAAATTATTGCAGTAAAATAACATGAAGTGGAGGAAGAATGAGATCGTTGAATATATTTGTTTTATACATCGAGTACACTTATAGAGAAATACATAAGCACGACATCAATGCTCAAACTGTTTTTTTTTTTTTTGTTGTTTTTTATCCCTGGAATCAGCAAAATGTTTGCATGTAACATGTAGATATGCTAAGTATCAAGAAAAAAAATGTATAGTCTATTATTTTCTTTTCGAAGAAAAATAGAGCGCTAACAGACAATGTTCTTTGATGAAGTAAAAGAAAATAAATTTCTTTATTTTTACGATGAAAAAAAAACTTTTTTCAATCGTTCACCGCTAAAGTAAAATGATTTTGTTCATGTTTCAACTCAATTGGAAAAGTAAAAAAACTCACTACTAATATTTCGTCTAAATACAATAAACTATCATCATTATTTGTAGTTTTTTGAAAAATAATATTGAATAACTCCTAATACAGTACGATTTCTTTTTGTACTGGAAAATATTTTGTACTTAATATAGAAAACTAACTATATACTCACTACAAAACAGACAAATAATGATAGAAATTGAGTTAGTATAACAGTTATTTAAAAAAAACAAACAAAATAAAACTTTATAGATTTAATAAAATAAGTATGAGTTTCTTATGCAATGATACCTTGTGAAAATATGATCTCATTGGCAAAAAAATAACAACAGCAATTTTAAATAAACAAAAAAATTAAGTAGATTTGAATAACATTGTTAAATACGTTTCAATTCACTCTCAATTAAAATATATTAAATGAATAAATTTAATGATTTTATATTTATACGGTACTTTCAATTCTATCTATCATTTCTTGTCGCTCATCACATTCAATAATTGATCTTGATTTTTTCAATTTACTAGTAATTATTGTCTCATTCTGTGATATCCTTCCATTTGAATTCACATTTTTATCATGTTTATTTCGTCTAATGATAGGTAGACTGGTATTACCAGTATTATACGGTCGTTTAAATTTAAAATATTTTCGTAATGGTGAATGTTGCAATATTTCTCTAATTACATGATAAAATTCTTTACGAAATTTTCTACCTGTTATAAAATAAATGTAAAATTCTAAAACTGTATCCAATAATGTTAACATACGTAGTATTAAATAGACATTTGATGTTTTAACATCTTCTGTAAGTTTTGCACCATCATGTATAATATTTTTTGGTACAGGTTTAGATGTTTTAACGTAGACATAAATACTTGCAATACTATTTGTAGTTAAAAATACACAACTTGTTGTTAATGTGATAGTTGTTTCATAACTAACATCTTTCTTTGTTATAATATGTCTTAATGATGAACGATTTGGATCAGAACGTGAAAAACGATTTTGTGACGATGATTTTGATGATGAGGACGAAGATATAGCACCGTTTCGATGAAGATCAACTTTGGATAATCTTGTACTAGGACTTTTTAAAACACGTTTAATAATAATTATATTTGTAATGGCAACAATTGTAAATGGAATTAAAGATGAAACAACAAAATTAACAATTGGTGCATTATACAATAGATCATTAGTTGGTTCAAAGCCATTAAACGAAAAATAGCCAATTTGTCGGCCAAATATCACATTACAATAGGTAAAATCTTCATCTTTATGTTTTTGTAAACTTTTATAATAAAAAACATGCCAGTTATAACATGCACCACATATCATCATAAAAATAATCAATGAAAATACTCGTAATCGTGTACATTGTGGTAAATGAGTTGAATGAACAATAGTAATTACACGTGTCAAACAACATAGTAGAACAAATCCAATTGACCAAGATACAAATATATCACTACTTCGTGCAAGTAAACAAATTAATTGTGAACTATTAATTTGTTCATCGTTTAAAAAAAATTTTGTATCAAAGACAAAGGTGCATAATAACGGAAGTGTATCAAAAATTGTTTTTAATAATAATAGTAAACCGGTTGATGTTCCACGTAACGGTTTACGTAAAAATATAATACAATTAAATACTTTACCAAATAGACCAAATGTAATTAGAACAACACTGATAATTTGAATAATTAAAGTATATTTTGGACTTGTATCAGCAAATGATTGAGTATGAGTGCTTGAACATTGACTAATACAGTCTAAATCATATGATTCATTATTAATTAATACTGATTGACGACCCGATGATATATTCGCCACACACGATTGAAAACAATCAAATAAAAAAACAGGATTAGTCATAACTGTAGTTTATATGACATTTCTATAACAAAATAAAAATGACAAAGTTACATTGTCTAATTCCAATGAAAAGGTACCGGAAATATATTGTGTACCGGAAATCTATCTAACTAATTCAAGAAATATAGAAACAGGATATTTCAATAGCTATATTAGTACTTATTATACCTTACAAATGTCACAGGATTCAAATTTTCTAATATACTTTTAATTTCTAAATTATCAAAAATGTAGAAGGTGGTTCTGTAGAAGGTGGTTCTAAAAATATACGAGAAGCCAAAAATAAAAAAAGCAAGTAAAAAAATTGATATATTTTTTTTACTAAATTGAGTAGTCCAGCTATTTTTGGTAATTTTGTGTATGAACTATTATTCACATCGAAGAGAATAATAAATTATGAATCGCTAAAATAATAGTTAATCTACACAAACCCGTAATGTATTGTAATTATACTTCTCATTTTCATAAGATTAAATGTACCGTATGTGTGTGACGAAATAAATAAATGAATGAATGAAGTGCTATTTATTTTTCTCACATCTTCCTATATAAATTTTAAATGTTTTCTAATCACAATAAGGAAGAAAAATGATTAATAATTGAAAAAAGATTTTCTTTCATGTATCGATACAGATGATTTCATTTTTTATTCTATAATTTTTATCTTTTTCTCCGGTTTTTGTTCTACGATTCCTTCACAATCTATTTTCCATTTATTTTTCTTCTATTTTAATAGGAAAAGAATTACTCAATTTAGATGACGTCTTCATTATATCTAACACAAAAAAACAGAAAAAAAAATGAAAGATTGCATGTCATAGCACAAGTCCTCTTTGGTTTATGAAAACAATATGAAAAAAATAAAAAGAAATCAGTTTTCGTCTATCTATATTTTACAATTATCTCCACTAGTTTTTTATTTTTGTTCACATCTCTACTCTACTAACATTATTGTTCTCCGCCTTTATATGTAACAACTAACAATACAGAGAGAGAGAGAGAGAGAGAGGGAGAGAGAGAGAGAAAGAGAGAAAGAGAGAGAGAGAGAGATAGAGAGAGAGCCATCGACGTTTAGCATGTTCATAACATATTGATTATCTTAATATACGACTAAAAAAAAACAAAGAAAAAAAAATTCAACTTTTTTTTTTAGTACAAACGGATATCCTTCTTAGTTCATCGAATTAAATTTATCGGAAAAAAATATTATTGGTAGTAATACAAAACATAGAAAAAGTCAGTGTAGAGACAAGAGAAAAGAAAGAAAATAACCTTCTGTACCGACGGATATAGATTTAAAACAGAAGTTCAGATTCCAATAATTCAAACTACTTAATAATCTTGAAAATCAAAGTGGATTTGATCTAATAATACCCTTTACAATAGATCTTTAAAGTAGAATGTTCTTCGGCAGGTGAAGTAATGAATTGATCGATTATTTCAAAAATAAATAGAGTTTACAGTGATATTTTCATTTTTAGTAAACTATAGTAGTCAAATGATTGACATTATGTATAAATAGAAGAAAAAAAAAAGAAGAGAAAACAGGTCATTGAACTTGAAATTGTTTAGATGCTACTATATTCTATTAAATAATCAAAGATATGATTGAAGCAACAATTACTTTTAAAAACAACTTTCCTGTATACAAAATAATTTTGTTATCCCTACTTTCCGTAAGTGTAACAATAGTGTACATTAATTTTTTTTGTCTCTTCTACTTCTTTTTTAAATATTTTTTTTTCTTTTGATTAATTTTTGATAGACAAGTTAGTTCGTGTTGTGATCAACTTTGATGTCTCTGTGAGAGTTTTAAACACAATTATTGTCAATTTTAAAGAAAAGAGGCTGTCAAATGGATATAATTGAATTCAGGAAAATATTCAGTTACTTCTTTTTTTTCTTTCTTTTTAATTATTATATCAGGAAACGCAATATACCTCTCTTGAAAAATGATCAACATCGCTTTTTTTTCCTTCTTTGTAAACTCTTCATCTACAGTATAAGACATATCGTTTTGGTTAGTGTGTATTAACGAATTATGTACGCATTTGGAAATGACAGGCATAGAATGCAAACAATTGTTTGTTGTAAGAGAAATGCAAGCTGGTGCGGGCAGGCACCACATTTATGCCATAAAAAAAGGGAGATTTCTTAGAAAATATGAGACCGTATCACTCGGGATAAATTGATCTTTACGGATCTTTTAGGATACTTGAGCGTATGATATGAAGAAGAAAAAAATTCTAAAGAATCGATGAAACCAAAATGGCAAATTGAACGATATATTTTTGAGAATTTATAAAAAAAAATACTTCATTGAATAAGAAATAGTATCATGTAATGTTGATACTATTAATAATTGCTTCAAGATATTGTGTAAACTCAGTCACAACTATTTCTTTCGTTAAATTTGACATTTATGTGGATCTGTTACTTTACCGTTTGTTGTTCTGAATGAAACTGTTTTTTTTTTTGTTTATTTGGTCAAGCGTTAATAATTGTTATGGGTATGGCATCACAAGTTTAATTCACTTTCGATTCTAGTTGATTGAACCGATCTGAACATATTAGTAGAATAAATAGAAAATTGATTTTTTCATTTACTGAATACCCTATGAGATGTGAATATTAAATAATGTAGATATATATAGATATAAATATAGATATATATGTGAGCATCAACAACAACGAACCTAATTCATTTTTACTAATAATTATTGTACAATTATGAAGAACTTTGATGAAATGAAGGATAATTTTGACTAAAAAAAAAGCTGTAGACAAAGTCATGCTTAAGCTTTATCATTTGCCTTCTGTTACACAGATCATAAAAATTTTACGCCCCCCTTTTTAACACATGTAAAGAGTTAACGAATCGTTTTAAATTATTTTTATTCTCGATTTCGAAATGGTTACTAACAATCAAATCGTTCGTTATGCTTAGATAACAAAACGGTATATATAAACACTGATAATTTCACACGTTCTAGAATCTTATTTATTGTTCTTCTCACACCACTGTTCATGAGAATCCTCACATTTTGTGTCTACTTCAACGCCAGTACTATTAACCGTTACTATGGAAAAAGCATTCGTATCTTATTAGATCTTATTTTGTTACCAAAGACAAAATGGACTTTTGTACCAACTTCATTTATTAGGTCATACAAAATCTTCTTACATGTCAATGAAAATAATATTGGAAAATAGAGGTTAAGGATGATGTTAAACATTCTTCCTAACGACAATGTAGGTGTTTTGAAATGGAACGTTTGTTCTTTGCGTAGAGATTTGTAATCTAGCGTTTATTACACTAGCAAGAGAATCTTTCCAGATGACTGACCCCAATTTTAATAAAATGTGGGTTTTCAAGGATTATTTTTGATCTTGATTACGAATCTGATCTTTATGTGTACTCATCGTGGTTTTGATTCTTGATGACTCATCGTTCTTTGAAGATTGTTATCCCCTACTTTCTAGATTTTGTGGTGACGATGTCTGACACTTCTCAGAATTTTTCTTTACAGGTCGTTGTAGAGATTTAATTTCTTTTTAATTTGTAGGTAATAGTTATAGCTAGAGGTTGACAGAGCCGGATCTTCGATTTAGCCGTTAGATTTTTAATAAAACAGTGTTTTCTGGTTAACTCCAAAAGGATTTTTCGAGTTTTTGAGGAAAAACGTTACCAAAAATCGGTAAAGGGAAAAATCAAAAAGCTCTAGCTGTATATGTTTGCTAAAGAATAACGCAAATCCGAGCTCTCTAGCACTTATCTGGATAAATTTTTTTGGGAAGCGCCTTCCTTTGATCCTTGGAGACTCTATAACTGCGGAATCCTTGCACCTAGGGACTTCAAAAATTTTTGGAAACATTTCACGTTAGGCCTAACAGGGGTCTTAATGAAGATTGTTCCCGTAGTACTAGAAAACTTTCATAGTAAAGGGGTTAAGGCTAGAGTTTCAGTAGATAAACACGAATCTTCTTTTAGTTTGATGAAACAATAATCGTTAAATACCTCTCAAAGATGGTTGTATTCCACGTGTCAAATGGAAACAGAATGGAGGACTGGGTGAATTTCTAAAACTTAGAATTTGTTGTTTAACCCACTATTTTACTAAAATAAAGAAAAATTAGTACACAAGAATGCATCACTTCTATAGGCTAGTACATTATATCCCTCTGGCCGAAATAAGTTGAACATACTTTTTTTAAAATTAATCCTCTATGCTATGGAAGTTAACTTCCATTGCATGGTGGATTAATTTTAAAAAACATGTGTATTTTGGCCAGGGTCATATACCAGGGACCATCGCAGGACAGGGCTGCCCTGTTGTCCTGCCGCTCTGCCCTGTCCTGCCGGGCAGGGCGATATATTTTTTTGCCCTGCCCTGCAAGAGGGCAAGACAACAAAAACTTCCTTGATTAACCCTGCGAGAGATTGATTTTTGAGATTTTTAAGCTTCTTTTAAGTGAAATTTTGAGATCTCTCGTATATGTGAAAATAAAAATGACAGCCAACTTTTCTAAAATTGATAATTAATAAAAAAAAAAGATTCTGTTACGCATGAGAAACACATCCGGTATTTGTGTGATGAGTTTCTTGAAGATAAACTCTTCTAGATTAAGGAGAAAAACTTTCTTTTGCACTGCAGGGCGACCTGCCCAGCCCGGCAGGGCAGGGCGAAAAAAGTTGCCCTACTATACATTTTTTGCTCTTTATAAATACTGAAATAGTAGAATAAGAAAGTTATTCCTGCCACGACATTGTCCCGTTTTCTCAACACCACTCATGTCAACGGCAACAAATGTGAATAACAATTCTATTGATTCCGATTCTGAAAGTAATTGATCGATTTTGTGTGTAACGTTTCTCATCTTCTAAATAAACATTTTTAGTGATGTCTTTTAAACTAATCGATCCTTTTCTCTACCTGGTCTATTGAGAAGGAGCAAAGTCAAAGGTAATATTCATTTACTATCTTCTTTTAGACTCTTAA